TACTTCGTGCATGTCGCATGAGTTCTTTGCGGATTTCAGGGTTTAAAACTCGCAGATTTGAAGGCTCGAAACTGAAGTATTTTACTCTTTTCCTGCTCACGGAAAACCAATCTATTTGAAGGATGTTTTGGGCGGATACTGTCTTGAATACAGAGAATAGCAGCGACGACGGTTCTGCTACTGTTTCCTACGCTCTGCGTTCAGTTGTTTTTTCCCACGTTTTTGGCGGGCAAACCTTTTAACGGCCTCCATGCTGAAGTGCGCCAGGAGAGAACTGAGAGAGCGTCAGAGCTGTTTTTGAGCAGAAGTGCGAAAAGCTCAGCAACTATGTCATTCGGTAACACCTTTGGAGCCAAGCTGCAAAACTTTGGGCTAACAGTTTTGGCAGCAACGCGCCTTCTAGCATCCAGAATATCGTTCGTGTTCCGAGGGCATATGCTGACGAAAGCATCCACGGCCAAACCATAATAGCGTTCATGTTCTGAGAGCATACGCTGACCAAAGCATCCATGCCCAAACCATAATAGCGTTCGTGTTCCCAGAGCATACGCTGACCGAAGCATCCATGCCTAAACCATAATAACGTTCGTGTTCCAAGAGCATACGCTGACGACAGCATCCATGCCCAAACCATACTAACATTCGTGTTCCCAGAGCATACGCTCACCAAAGCATCCATACCTAAACCATGCCCCCGTGCATGGCATCCATGGCTGGAGGCCCACGGGCCCGAAACACATTGCCATTCTTTGAACTGTCAAAATTCTTGAAATCGCAAGTAGTTTGCCGCCCAAATTCCCGACATCAGAAATACTGCTTTCACATGCGAACACCAGAAAACCTTTCAAAATACAGCATTCCGTGGCCCTCAGTAAAAACCACCGCCCACAACGAACTCGCGTAAACACACGAGCGCGTTGCCTCCTCCTACTACTACTACTACTACTACTATTACTACTATTATTACTACTACTACTACTACTAAGAACTTGTCGCGTATTTGACGGTGTGTTTTTCTTTACTTCACGCGCGTTTTATGGTGGTTTCGTGCTTGTTTTAGCATTTCTGCGGGGGGTGGCTGGCTTAGTATCGAGGTGCTTGCATTGCTTGAAAATGTGCGTTTTATGCTGATTTTACGATTTTTCGGGGTGTGTGGTTTTCCTGTTTTTGGACATCTACCGACGTTGGAATTTGTCTCACGCGGTTTAGTATTCGTACGTTCGCGCTGCCTGAAAACGTGCGTTTCATGGTGGTGTCGTGCTCATTTCATTTCTTTCTAGGGCACTGGCCGTATTTTTTAAGACTTTGAATTAATTTTACCATCGCCCCATTAGTCCAGGGTAGTTCCCATCAGTCCAGGCTACGCACCATTAGTCCAAGGGTGTGAGGAGTTCTGGTTTAGACTTAATCATCAGTCCAGGGTAGTTCCGATTAGTCCAGGCTACGCCCCATTTTTTTCAAGGGTGTGAGGAGTTCTGATTTAATTTCATCATCGCCCCCATTAAGTCCAGGGTAGTTCCCACTAGTCCAGGGTACGCCCTATTAGTCCAAGGGTGTGAGAAGTTCTGATTTAATTTTATCATCGCCCCATTTGTGCAGGTTAGTTCCCATTAATCCAGGTTATGCCCTGTCAGTCCAAGGGTGTGAGGAGTTCTGATTTAATTTTATCACTGCCTCATGAGTCCAGGGTAGTTCCCATTAGTCCATGCTACGCCCCATTAGTCCAAGGGTGTGAGGAGTTCTGATTTAAATTTAACGGCCGCCGCCCCATGGCAGCGACAACAGAATCTACGTCCTTTGAGGCCAAAGATGCCGGCAACAATTGTGTTTAGCCACCCTGGCAACTGTGCTGCCCGCACTACTGTGAATGCTGCGCCTGCCAGTGATTTTGTACGCAGATGCACAGAAAACACCACCGTCAAATACGCGACAAGGCCCTACTACTACTACTACTACTACTACTACTACTGCTACTGTTATTGCTACTGCTACTACTACTGCTACTACTACTTCAGCTGCGACTACGACGAGGACTACTAGCACTATTACTACTACTGCGATGCCGTGTGCCTGATTTCAGGTTCTGGGTTGGGTCAGTGTCTGGCCTTGAGGCCAGTGCAAACGACCCGAACTTGTAAAATGACACAAACAGTAGGTAGTAGAAACCGTAGAAGTAGCAAATATAAAAGGAGCAGTACAAGTTGTTGTCCTAGTGAGGGTACTAGGAGTAAAAGAAGCTGTAGATCAGGTGTAGATGTGGATGTCATAGTCGTAGTCGTAGTCGTAATCGTCGTAGTCGTCGTCGTCGTCGTCGTCGTCGTCGTAGTAGTAGTAGTAGTAGTGGTAATCGTTGTCGTAGTAGTCGTAGTAGTAGTAGATTGAGAGTGATTCTTTTTGTGTTTGTTTTGCCTATGGTGATGTTGAGCACATGCACTGGAACCAAAGGTGCATGAAGATGTGGACAACTTCGTTGGGGCCGAAAAAACCTGCCATACGTGACTTGGCCCTTACACATGTCCAGGCCGGGACAGCGTGCCTGTGCTGTCCTTGGGTTTACCAGGACGTACATCAAGTACGACTATGAGCTTCCACCTTTCTCATTACGGAAAGTTGCTCGCGTCATCGAGTACCAGGGCCTACAAACGTGAGCCTGGCCTGTCCACCACATGCCTTTCGACTCGCGGTAGATGCGCTCTGCCAGGTCGTTCACCCTGTTTGAGCTGAATCAGGTGCCATAGGCTCATTAGGGTTTTTGGAGTTTGACAAGTTTGGGAGGATACAGGGTGAGTGTTTCATGCGCCTGAAAATGCTGCTGTGCAGCAGCAACCCTTCTGATGGCGCCCACCACGGGCAGCGGACCTCTGTTGGTGGAAAACTGCTGCTTGCTTAGCCCCTGTGCTTTGTGACCATCGTGGAGCAGCATATGGTAGTTTGCCAAAATAGGGGGACCCCAATATAGACCCCAAAATGCTATGATCCTTAATATCAAGACCTCTAAAATGGTCCCCCTAGTTTTGGGAAACCCCCATGTCAGTGCCAAGTCTTGTGCGACCCTGAGCTGGTTCACAGCTGGAGCAGACCGCAGATGCCAAACCAACATTCTTATTTCCTTCTATATAGGGATAATGGAAAAGAACATGGAAACTACCATATTGTATAGGGTTCTATAGGGGTAGTATGGGGATAATGGAAAAGAAAATGGAAACGACTATAGTATCATGGGGTATATACATCCCATTTCTGTGCCGCTCCCCAAAGTGCTATCCCTGCGCAGTGCCGCCCCATCCTCAAGCTGGGACAACTTGTTGTGTGATCAGTGATCAGAGTGCTCTCCCCCAAAAATAGGAGCTTCGGTACCATATGGTAGTTTCCCAAAATAATGGGACCCCAAAATACTATAGTCCTTATTATAGGGACCCCCAAAATGGTACCCCTAATTTTGGGAAACCCTCATATCATGTGCCACATGCTACATAAGAACCATGGAGCCATCTGAGCCGACCCCAGGCTCTCCAGGGCTTGAGTTGTGAAGTGACAGCAACCGGCTGGAACTACGGTGGATACTAAACATCCTGCATGACCCCAAGTACCCTACACCTTGGGAATTCTGGTACTGTAGTATACGAAGGTCATGCAGGATTTTTAGCATCAACAGTATGTGGTAGCTTCCTCAAATACGGGCTAATCGACCCCTGCATACTGTACTCTTTTTATGGGTACCCCCAAAAGGGTACATCTGATTTTGGGAAGCCCTAAACCCTAAACCTTAAAGCCTAAGTCCCTTGCACATCTGTATGAGCTCGAGCCGCTGCTGCGGATGAAGTCGATATATGACAGGTGAAGAAGCAACAAAGACGGAGGCGTCGCTGTTGTGTGGGAGGGCTTCAGCAAGTTCCGAGGTGTAGGTTTTGGTATGCAGGGATGTTCAGGGGCGGTGAAGAAGCGCTTCAGAGCCTGGCAGGACGCGAAGTCCTTCTTGCTGCGCCTACGTGGGTCGAGTTTGAGTGAAGCTTGTACCAATTGTGCAGAAGCCTTAGTTCAGGGTGTCGTAGATAGCTATGTTTCTGTACAGCCGTGGAGAGTGCAAGGCGCGGGCGCTGGATGAGGCAGCGGATTTCGAGGCTAAGTTCTTGGTCTTCGACACTTGGTGGCGCGCTGAAATCTGCAAAGCATGGCTTTTGCATACCTGTGACGTGAAGCGCTTGTGCTTCAGGATTCGTTTCTTCGACGGCGAGACACGATCTTAGGGGCCTCATCATTCATCCAATGTAGCTTGCTTACTGGCATATGCGTAATGCTCAGAATTATCCTATATATGACCCCTATATATCCCTATAGAACCCTATATAACCCCTATACACACCCTATATTTCCCCATTTTGGGAAGTGCCCATATGTTTTAAAGATTCAGGCCATTGCCGGCTGTCTGCTCGCAGCCCGCAGCCAAAGAGGAGCCTGAGAAGGACTTGAACTGTGGATGTACGGGCAGATTCTTGTGGGGGCTTTCTAGGAATTATCGGGGTTATATAAGGGTAATGTGGGGGTTATATAGGGGTTATATAGGGGTTGCATAGGGGTAATATAGGGGTTATAAAGGGGTTATAGGCGGTATATATGGGATATACATGGGTTATATAGGGGTTATAGGGGTAATGTAGGGGTATATAGGGTTTAGGGTCTAGGAGTCAGCCTTTGCCTTTGCAATTGCAGCTGCGGTGTCTTCTCAGGATGCAGAGCGTCAGGTCCCAAGCTGTTTCGAAATCCCTCCTAAATCCCCCCTATAACCCCTATACTATCCCTATATAACCCCTACATTTAACCCCTGCGCAAGAAGCAGATTATCCCAGGAGAGGCGGAAAATGAAAAGGATGCTGATCAGCAGGGGCCTGAGGGGGAGGGGGATTGAGGGGGTATGGTCCCCCTTAAGTTGATAGAATATGGCTTTGGGTATATTATAAGAAGATCCCCATATATCCCATATGCTAGCTACTTAAGGGGGACTGTAATCCTAAGCAGAATGACCTGCAGTGGAGCTGTCAAATCAAGTCGCCAAGGCCTGAAGATGAGGCAGCCTCTGAATGTCCAAAAGAAACTCCCAAGGAGGCCAGAAATTTCATACGAGCCATAGTCTAAACTCCTTGAAGGGGGTTATATAGGGGATCATATAGGGGACTATTATAGGGGTTATTAAGGGAGATACTAGGAGTTCAGACAATGGCTCATATATCCCAAAATTAGGGGTACCTACTATAATGGAGAATCAAATGGAAAAGAAAATGGAAAATGAAATGGAAACTGTGATTATATAGGGGATTTTAGGGATTAGGGGTTTACCAAAATTAGGGGTACTATTTTGGGGGTCCCAATAGTAAGGACTATAGCATATTGGGGTCTATATTGGGGTACCCTAATTTTGGGAAACTACCAAATTCGACGAAGAAACTTGCTGTGGGCATGTACCCTATTTTGCCCCTATATCCCTTATATAACCGCTATGCAACCACTATATAACCCCTATATAACCCCCCCGTATAAGCCCTATATAGCCCTTATATAACCCTACATAGCCCCCATAGAACCCCATATAACCCAGAACGGTCCCGAGGTGCCACGCTTCGCCAAATACAAGCGGCTGAAGGAGGCCTTCGTTTTTGCCACGAGTGGCCTGCTAGATGTCTGGCAGAAGAGCAAGATCTTCTAATATAATATAATATGATATAATGTAATATAGTAGTAGAATATGGGATAGTATAGTATAGTATAGTTTACTCATATTTTTTTGTACAAGAGGATATACTAAAGTATAGTATAATAGAAATGGTGAGCCCTGAGGCCTTGGCCCTCTTTGCTGAGCGCTTCGGCCCGTGACCTCAGCTGACAAGTCCTCGTGTTCGAATCTACAAACCTGTAGTGTCAGGCTGTGACCCCTTCTCGTCGGTGGCCTTGTTCTCAGCACTGAAAACCCTAAACCCTCAACCCCCTAAACCCTCAACCCCCTAAACCCTCAACCCCCTAAACCGATCGAAAGGGCCTTCAAGCTGAGTTGGTAGTTTGCCTCAAACAGGGGGACCCCAATCTTTTTGCTTGGATGTGAGGTGCCAGCTCTTCTGAAAGCAGCCGTTGAGCTAGCAGCAGCTCTGGCACCTTTAGAGTCTTTCTTAGGGCTTAGGGTTTAGGGTTTAGGGTTTAGGGTTTAGGGTTTAGGTTCAACTCTAAACCCTAAACCCTATAAACTTTAAGATTGTGCCAGGATGAGAGCAAATCGGCTTCACAGCTTCCTTTACCTCCTCAACCCAAGGCCTGGAGACAGTTTGAAAGGGATAATGAAAAAGAACATGGAAACTATTATTTAGGGTTTAGGGTTTCGGGTTCAGGGGTTATGTTGGGATGAGGGAAAAGAACATGGAAACTACTATAATGGGGTTATATAGGGTTTAGGGTTTAAGCCGATGAGCGGTAGAAACCAAGCTTCGCAAGACGAATTCGGGCAACTTGGGTTGACGTCATGCAAGGGACCGGGAAGCATGGGTCTTCAGTACTACTTGTAGGGTCATCCTTTTCGATAATACATCAAAGCAGGATCGATGCATGCTAGGGATCCTCTCATACTTCTTCAGAGCTCTAGACTAGCAGATGCCCCGTTGAATTGTACGCAAGTTTGCTTCCTTGAAGTGCGCGAAGCCAAACCGAAGCGAGCGCATTTAGCAGCCAGAACATTTCCGAGTCGAGAGCCTGTTTGCCCTTCTGTCTGGCAGGTTGCAAAGCCATGTCGCATCCGACGTGAGCCAATCACAGAGGCAAAGTCCCATAAGCTCAAGTTGTAGTTAAGTAGCTGACACCGTGGGAAAGGCACTGCTGTCAGGCCTCAGATGACGTGTCTCCCAAAGAAGGCAGGGCTGGGACGGGCTGGAACAGACGCTCGGTGTGTTGATTGGTACACCTTACTTGCAGCTATGTGCTGCGCAGGAGCAATGTCTGAGGCCACCGAACAAGTCCCAGTGGACAAGGCGCTGCGGTGAGCGGCGCATTGCTGGGTCGATGCTATGTCAGCGATGTCATCGCATTCCGCAGGCCATTCATCTTTCGGCCTCTGATGTGTACTCCTTGCTAGCCAACGCGGCCTTGTGCGGCCTGCATGTGGTTCGAGAGGATAACAGAGTGAGCCTGTGACGTTGGTGAGTGTGCTCCGGCTTGAAAGATCACACAGCGCAAGTTCTGTTGCGCCAGGCTAAATGTGCAGGGCTTCTTTGACCTGCAGAAACTGTATTTATCTTCCGCCAAGGCTGGGAAGTGTTTTCAAGTTCACAGGTCATGAGTGAATCTTGTGTTCTAGGCCGCACCGCAGAAGATCCTATGCTTGCTTGCCTACTTCCACTTGGGTCTGGAGGCAGACCATGAATTCGCATGGAAGCGACAAGAAATCGAGATTTTCAACATGCTTTGTTTTGGCAAGACCACCGCGAGCACAGGGCTTGCGGAGAAGCGTCTTAAGTCCCTGTTTCAGTGTGTGTTGGAATTGATTGCCCGTGGTCTTTGGGTATGTGAAGGTGACCTGTGGCCGCGAGATCGTCTTTGAAAGGACGGCATCCTCCGATCAAGCCATTCGAGATTTTCTGCCAGACCCTATCAGCCTTTGCCTTACTTGGCATGGTGCCGGCTGCGACGTCACCGTGCTTTGCCAGCAGGTCCGCCAGATCCCGAGCCAAAGCAAGATGGAGGCTGCTGAGCCGGATGACAGCAAGAGTTCAAAAAGACTTGGCATTGCAGGTGATCTCGAAACTCAGGAGAACGCTGAAGCGGGGGAGAAGACAAGTCAGGAGGCGACAAGCGACATGAAGGATGTGAAGGATGGGCAGCTTTCCTCTCAAGAGGCTTCGTGAATCTTCGCGAGCGGTCCTGTGCAAATGCTCAGGAGCCCCTGGAGACAGCAGAGCCAGCAGAGCCAGCAAAGCCGGCAGAGCCAGTGAAGCCGGTGGAGCCGGCAGAGCTGGACACCAAGGACGAAGCCCTGGACGACTCCGGCAACGAAGGCATGGCATAGTTGAGGCCACCATTACCAGTGAGACCATTGCTAGCCGAAGATGTGGGAGGTGGGCAGTTTCCAGCTGTGGCCTTCGCCAGCGACTTTGCCACGGCGCTTGACGGCCCTGGGCTTGACAAATTTGGCTATGTGGGTGCTCGCACGAATATGGATTTGGGAGAGTGAAGCCTGTGCAAGGTTGCCAGGGAGCAGTCATTATCCTGAGCAGTCCGGCACTTGCTGTACTCAGTTTGATCGTGCTCGTCGGTATGAAGCAGCTGTGAACAGGTGCCAGCAGCTTTGGAGCACTCGCTGATGTCAAGACGCCTCCCGAGGAGGCCCTGACAAGTTACGGCAAATCGCTTTCCCAAAATCGCTTTCCCAACGACCCCCTGTGAAACTCCGACTGAGGTGCCCTTGTGGGAGTTTCCAGAATTGCTTTGCTCCAGATTGGTGTTGGGGAGCTTGCCGCTAGCTGACGCCCAGGCAGGGTTTTTTTTCTGTCAAAAGTAGAGTGGCTAAGACTGCAGGTGGCCATCGTTCGCGGAGTCCGGCGTGTGAACTCTTGCACAACCGAGGGTCCGCTGCTGAACTTGGCTGAGGTGCGCCCTGATCTTTTTGGAAGTCCAGCTTCTCATTGCCGGGAGAAGTGCAACAACACTCTATGCCGTGTTTTCTGAGAGAGCAGTGCGCACTTGGTTTGTACTAGAGAACGCCTGACTTGGGTGTTTGTCAACAAAAATCGGTACAGAATCCGAAGGATCCTTACAATCCCCTTGCAATATCGTTTTATCCCTAGGGTGTCTGGCCGCCGTATGGCCCACTGTTTTGAGAAACTCCCACCTACAAGCTTAATCCTGAAACATTACTACTAAAGTTGTGTCCATTTCATTTGGATTTTCTGTTCCATTCGATTCTCCACCATTAGGTATCCTTGAGGCCCTGTCCTTGCAAAACGCTGTTCTGTTCTCTCACAGGCTTCAATCAATCAATCAATCAATCTGTTCTCAGGGAGGGCCCAAGATGCAAGAAGACACCAGCTTAAAGGTGTTGAGTACCTCTATAGATGGAAGAAGACTTGCTTGATGCCTGTTTGGAAGAGACAAGCTTGAGCCAAGATCCCTGCTTGATTTCATGCATCCTACGGTTGCTGCCAGCTACCAGTTGAGCTTTGCAGAGGTTAGAACATAGCCAGAGTGTGCAAAAGGCTGGTAGAAAAGCCTGCTCCTTTACATGCTTGCAGGGCCCCCGCCTGGGCGCTGTGCTTGACATAGCGGTAATGGACATTCAACGCCACATCGATGACAGGCGTGTGGTGCACCAATGGCACTGCGACTAATCCAGCAGCATGGTTTCTAGAACTTAGCAGCAGTGTCGGAAGCGTCGGACGACTTCACATGCTCCAGACTCACGCAGAGGCGCTTTGCCATCGAGTCGCTGCGGCACGACGCGACCAAGTGGTCCACCTGCATCAGGCGACTGGCGAGGGAATTTCTCCGAGATACCTTGCAGGATTCTGCGAAGGGACCTGCCCGTGTTAAGCATGGCATCTTGAGGTTCGATCAAAAGCTCCCATCTTGGGCGGCTAATGTTGGTTCTTAGATACGCAAGGTTTTGACCAACAAATGGGAAATCTAGGGGTCTAGGGGTTGTATCAGGGTTATATAGGGATAACGGGACAAGAAAATGAAAAACTCTAAACCCTAAACCCCCAAACCCTAAACCCCTAATTAAACCCTAAACCCCTAAACCCCAAACCCTAAACCCCTAAATTTTAAACCCCAGGCTCTGAGATCCAGTAGCAACCCTGCTGCCAGCCAATATGATCAATGTGGGAATATAAGCCCTATATGGTACACCTATGATATAATTGTTACATTTTTAATAATTCTTATTATTCTTACTACTACGATTATTTTTAATACTTTTGGTGCTACTGTTACTATGAGTACTATTATTCTGCTAGCAGGTGTTTGGCAAAGGACGTCCTCGCAGTCGGCCATCCCCCTCTCATTGGACTGGGGCTTAGATTTACTGGCACAAGAGATGGCAGTTTCCTTAAATGGCGGGTCCTCCCCATATGAGCCGTAGTCTAAACCACTTAAAGGGGTTATATAAGGGATTATATAGGGAATCATATAGAATCCGAACTGCTATGGTCCTTATTATTGCGACCGCCAAAAAGGTACCTTCGGTTTGGGGAGACCCCAAATGAGCGCAGAGCTATGCAAGTTGCAGTCTTGACTTTGCAAAGGGTGCGAACTCCAAAGGCCTCAAAGTGCAAGTTGCTTCATTTTGATCTGTCTGAGGTGTGGACAGACACTGGTCCTACGCAATGCAGCTACTATCTGCAGGACACCTGTTGTGAACGTTAATATTATGGATTCAGGACGGCAGGGCATGCCTTCAAAGACTGTGTTGTTGACGTGTTGATGAACGCCTTGACTGGACAACAGTTATAGTCCCCCTTAAGTAAATAGAATATGGCTTGGGGTATATTATGGTAAGATACCCATGTTCCCATATTCTGTCTACTTAAGAGGGACTATATCTGGAAATTGCTTGGGGAGTTTGATAGTTGTGCCACTCGGTCCGGCGCTGTTTTTTTGGGATGCCGGCCTGAACAGGGTTGCACGACCACCTTGAGCTTACTGTTGGGGGAGGGAGCAAAGGAACAAGAGCCAAGACCCTTGGCCCCTGCTTGCCTCCCATTATCTCTGTGGGAAGTCAGGTTGCGCAAAAATAGCTCAAAGAAACACGTGTAAACACTTTGCTCTGGGCGCCACCTTCTTAGCGAAAGGGAAAACAACATACCATAGCCTCAAGATAGCCTGCACCAAAGCTGCCCTGTGTACGATAGGTTCCTGGCGTCTTCCGGTGGATTCCATCTGTTCGTGAAATCCCCCCCACAATCAGGATCAATTCGTAGCCTGGGCCACCCAGCCCGCTTTGATTGGGCGGGACCTTGACTCCATTTTGGAAATGCTTCTCATTCCTGTCGATTATCGGGAGAATAGGAAAGAACCGGCTCGTGTGCGTGGTGTGCGCAGAGACCCTGCTGACCTTCCGCTTTGTGCCCCTCAAGCACTGAGAAGCTTCGACCCAGATCCTTGTGGGATTTGGAATAGGCGTTCGCCAACCCTGCTTGCAGAGCTGCCAGCCCTTTGCAAGAATTATTGAATTCGAACCGTAATTCAGATTCAGCTTGCCGAATTTTCGCGAACGAATTGGATACTTACAAGTAGTTTGCTTGGGATGATGCTGGTGTTCAGTGCCCGTGTGAAGCTCGTGAGGAAGGGGGTGCACTTTGATCCCCATGTCATGAGGAGTTTCCGCAAGCAGCACTGCGCTAAAGCTACGTGCTGCCCTCGTGCAGGTTGCTGGGTTGTGGGCAGCGATTCAAGAGCTGATGCCCAGGGGAAGCACAATCTAAGGGTATGCGCTCAGCACGGAGGGCTATGCAACAGCAGTTGCTTCGACTGAGCTATCTCCAGCACAGGCCGCTTTGCTCAGCCGAAGTTGCGTGGCACTGCCATGTAGCTTTGGAATGAAACAGGTCAAAGAGGCGAAGCATTTGGAGGCCCTTGGATTGCTGAGAAGTTGTGTTTCAACAATATAGTAGCTTCCATTATATTTCCATCCTCCCTATATAACCCCAATATACTACTTATAGTAGTTTCCATTTTCTTGTCCATAATCCCAATGTAACCCCGGCATCCAATATAACCCCAATATACTATAGTGGTTTCTGTTTTCTTTTCCATTATTCCAATATGACCCCAATAATTCCAATAGAAGCCCCAATATAATCCTTACAGTAACCCTAATACAATCCCTTTAGAAACCCTAATGTAATCCTTCTAGTCCCTCCTATAATATGGTATAAACCCTCATATAACCCCAGGGCTTGGAGCTCCGACCTGAAACCCTAAACCCTAAACCCTAAACCCGAAAACCCTAAACCCGAAAACCCTAAACCCTAAACCCTAGACCCTAAACCCTAAACCCTAAACTCTAAATGGAGGCCCTCACAAACCGCATGGCCTCCGCGAGCTCCTCTTGGAGGCCACGGGACCTCCTCCGTCTACTGGCCTTAGCCTGGCTCTTGGGGGCACAGAGCCCAATATGAGCTATAGTCCAAACTCCTTAAAGGGGGGCTATATAGGGGAATATATAGGGGAATACTATAGGGGTTATTAAGGGGGATACTAGGAGTTCAATATGGTAGTTTCCCAAAACAAGGGGAACCCAATATAGACCCCAATATACTACAGTCCTTGATATGGGGACCCCCAAAATAGGTACCCCTACTTTGAGGAAACCACCAAATCTCCTTGCGGTGCTTTGAGTTGTGCTTTCCTGCCAAGTTTCCCTACGCGCGATCCAGTGACTCTGAGAAGTTTCATGCGTTTTGGACGCAGCGATTGCGAGACTTGGCCTTGCTACAAGATGCTTGAAATGTTGAGAAGTACATCCACTATAGTAGCTTCCATTTTCTTTTCCATTATCCAAAGTAACCCATAGATAACCCTATACAACCCTTATGTAACCCCTATCTGTAAACCTAAGGTTTCTGCTTGATGCATGGTAAATGTATGGCGGGTGACTCAGGAGACAAGACGCTGGAACGCGGTGGATGCCCAACCAAGTCAGAAGTGGTCCTCCCTGCGGATTTCCGCCAGCATGCTGGTCATGTGCGTTCATTTGATTATGCTTCGCCATGCGATCATGTGGCACAGAGTGTGTCGAGCAGTCTCTCTCCCTACAGCTGAAAGCTGGAGGCATGCGTGCAAGGCGTCTTCTTGGTGTTTGGAATTGGCCCCCTGTTTCTGAGAAGCACGCTTTCCTGCTCTTTCAGTTTCCACTTTGCTCAGAATCCGTCGAAACGATGGGCCTCGTTCTCAGCATGGCAGGCTGGCACAAAACTCTTGACAATTTTGAGAATCACGCTGAACCGTCCGGCGATGATGCCATAGAGGCAGTGGCCGGAAGGTATCACGAATCGGATGCCTCTTTGGAATTCTTCGGTCTGGTCCGGCACTCCCAGAATCGAAGCACTTCGTGCTTGACAAGTAGGTGAACCGCCTTAAGAGGCCTAATTACAGGTCGCAGCTAGCAGCCTTGAGAAAATGTCACAACCACATTGCGAGGGGGCCGTTGAAAAGGATTCAGCTCTTTCAGGCGAGTGGCAGCACTGACGCAGCTGACGCAGTATCAGAAGACCGAGCATTCGACAGCTGTGTGTCTGAAGCAAGATCTTGTGCCGGCGCGCTATATTGACAGGGGATACAGGCAGGATTCAGAACAGCGCATCTTTCATACTCACTGACAGTGGTGAATGCAACATGCTTCTGATCCGAACGCGCGCAAGAACACGTTTGGTTCCTTGTGCGTGATTGTGGAAAATTCATTGCAAAAGTGGCATGAGCCTTGGTGCTAAGAATGGCTGTAGACATCGTTTCTGCGTCTAGCAGCAACCTGTGAGCTCCAAGCCCGAAGCTACCCTCGAGCCACCAAATGTGGACGGCCACCGCAGCTGAAGGTGAGAAGTTTTTTTTAGCCTTTGGGGCTATTGAAGCTAAAATTATCATAGTCCGTATTATTACTACTTTTTATGGCAGTTATAGTATTCTTCTTATTACTACTAGTCTTATTACTATCATTATTCTTATTGTTACTGCGATCCACGAATCCTGAAAGGTAGTTAAGCTGCCGCTGCCGAGCGCCAAGTCACTGCATCAGAGTAGGCTGCATGCTCTTGCCAGGGGGTATCTGGTCTCTGTCCACTATAGGACCAAAATGAGAGGCTTGTGTGCTAGATCCAGAGATCTCTAAACCCCTAAACCCTGAATCCTAAACTCAAAACCTAACTGACCCCTAGAAAATCCTATGCCCTAAACCCCAAATCCTATACCC